TTTGAATTAATCATGGCACCCATTTGGTAAAAGAACTTTTGAGTCTTGTATTGAATTTATATTTTGTGTTCATGTATAAAATATTTGACTCTTGTCGACCACACGAACTTTGCAAAGGAACATGGATCTTGAAATATTTTTACACTTTTGTAAAGAAGATGGAAGTTAACATCCTTTAATACACCTTCACTTTATCATAAAAATGACCTTAATCCAAAGTTTTACAATCTTGATTTTAAATACTTAACTTGGTGAATGAATTCTTCATGATAAAACTTGAATCGTTCCTTGTCATGAATTCGCAAATATTTCAAAGTGAACCATGACTTAACTTTGAATTTACACTTTATAAGCACAATGGATTAATTACAGCCTAAGTCTTGACTTTTAGTCACATAAATCTATAATATGGAACTCATTGATTGTATTTTGAACAATGATAGACCACTTGAAGGGCTCTTGTAACTTGACCTTCTGAGTTTGAACTTCAAATGGATTTGAGACTTATAGCTTGGATATACGTATAAACAGTGAGTTTGTACTTTAATATCTTCTTTGAATTGGTTCATAAGCACATATTATAAACAAGATCCTTTCAATTTAAATCACAGGTCAATCTCATTCTTCTTGATAAATCCATAGAAACATGAAGTTTCAAGTAAACCTTTAGAATATGCCGCGCCTTGTTATGTGAATTCATGATCTAAGGGGTCTTTGGAAGCGAGAACCATTTGCTTGTTTCAACATACCACAAAATTACATCCAGTTCTCAAACAACTATCCTTGAAATCAGTGGGTAAGAAACCTTAGTCCTCTTTGGGAAACTTCTAGGCAATCTTGGAGAGAATGACCTTGTATTGATCACAAAACTACAAGAATAAAGGCATATGTTTCTTTTATCTCCACAGGAATTCAACACAAATTGTAGGGGACCAAGGGCACAGACAAAGCTTCCATGATCCTTGAATCTTCTGTAGCGACCTAACTTTACAAATGAAACAAACAAAAAATTTTAAAAAAATTGTTAGCTATGCATGAATGATTGCACTTAAGATGATATGTAAAAGACAAAGGAATCTAAGGGTAAAATTTGGGGTACAACAACATGAAACAACAAAGCAAAACACAAAACAATAAAGAAGCATAAACAAATCACTGGGTGCCACATAATCAAGAGCCATCCTTATTCGAGGTTTCAGTTCATAATGACAATTATTGTCCCCTTGTGGTTAATTATTTCACGCCCAGTCATAAGTCCGCATATCTTAAGTGATACGACCCACACAGGAGAAGAAAGTGATGCTAAGTGACTTGATAAATCCCTTTTTACTCTAACAACAATCCCATCAAACTATTTTGTAGTTTGGTCAGACTCCAAAACTATCTCCCAAAGAAATTTCAAGGATAATACTGTGGCATCTAAAGCACGTATCACAAATCCCTTAAAAGTCTTTCTTATTGCAACAATCATTAAGGTACATCTAAGTTTAAATAGATTTGTCAACAAAGACACATTCTAACTTTGTTGGTCAAGACTTGAGGGTTACTATTCTGGTATGGACCGATGCTTAATACACATGATTATAGATCAATCAAAGTCATTTGATAAACATGATCAAGAAGATACACTTGATATATAGAATACTATATTGAGGTCTCCTAGATATCACAAGTAGTTCATCAACAAGGTCATGTGAGCTTTTGACAACCGCCATTTGTGTCAGGTGAGTGAGAAAGACAAATATAATGGTCAAAAGGATACCTAATCACATTACAACTCATAGTACATATACAAGAGAAATAGGATCAATCATGATCAAGAATCAAGCTAACTTAATGTACAAGCTACCAATAAGGAAACTAATAAAAGCAAAATCATGTAATCTAATTACATATGATTTGTGTAGTTAATAACTAGGTACATGAATCAAGATAATGCATAGGGAGGGGGACCTGGTATAATCTAGCACTACGTGACTTGCATAAGATCCTCCTCAAACTTGTGGGTGATGTAATCATTGAACACAAAATTTCTTGAGATAAAGACTCTTCCATGAGAGTTGAGACACTTATAGCCTTTGTGAGAGCTGTTGTAGCCTAGAAAAAATATTATGTGGTGTGGAATTGCAGTTTATGTTGATTACATGGTATAAGGCAAGGATGGAAGACACATCCAAAAGGTTTTAAAGCATTATAGCCAGGTTCCTTTTTGGTGATTAGGGTGTAGGGACTTTCATTAAAGTTTGTTGTGGAAGGAAACTTATCGATCAAATAAACTACAGTTGAGAAAGCATCCCACCAGAAGGACATTAGTATTTTGGCATACGCAAGTAGAGTTAAGCCTAACTCAATAATATGTCTATGTTTCCTCTTAGCTCTACCATTTTGTCTATATGTGTAGGGACAAGACATTCTAAACTGTATGTCTACTTCTAAAGCTTGTTTATGTAATGGCTTAAATTCACCACCACCATCACATTGGATAGTAATTATCTTTTTGTTCATTTGATTTTCCACCAAGTTTTTAATTTGAGAAAAAACATGTACTATTTCAGATTTATGTTTCAAAGGAAAAATCCAAGTAAATCTACTATAGTCATCTATGAAATGGACATAGTATTTAAAATCAGAAGTGGAATTTATTGAGGAAGGACCTCATACATCAATGTGAATCAAATCTAATGGCTCAAGAGCATATGGAACAGAAGACTTAAAAGGTAAAATATGCATTTTTTCAAATTGACAAACTTCACAAAAAGTAGGGTGGTCAATATCACTAGGTGGTGTCTTGATCTTGTAATTCTTCAAGACTTTGTCTAGTACTTTATTGTTGGGATGTCCAAGTTTTCTATGCCAACTCTCCTTGATTAAAATGTAGCCATAATGATCATTGGATTGAGTATCTGACTCTGAGAGCTGGTACAATTCATCTTTAAGTCTCCCTCTTATGATTGCCTTCCTTGTCATCTTGTCTTTCACAAAGCAACAATCAACATCATACTCAACAATGATGTTATTATCACTAGTCAATTTAGATATACTAAGTATATTTTTGGTAATGTCTGGCACATATAACATATTATGCAATTTAAGTAAATTTATATTAGATGAACCTGTACCAATAATATCTAGCTTAACACAATTTCCAACAAAAAGTGAATTCTTACCATTATTCTTAGTTAAATCTTGAAACTTTTATGTTTGATGTGTGACATGATTGCTTGCACCACTGTCAAAGTACCAATCATAATCTTCTGCATAGTGAGGCGAGGCTAGATATGCACCATGTGTATCACCTTTGTTTGCACCAATTGATAAATTTGAATGTGAGTAAGATTTGTCAAACCTGTGGAAGCAATTCATTGCTATATAACCTATTTTGGTTCACACTTGACATGTTGGTTTGAACATTATCCCTCTACCCCTGCCTCCTCTATAGCCTCTGAAATTGGAACCTCTCCATTTTGAGTTTTGTGTGTTTGAGTTGAATTTTTTGCCTTTATACTCAACTTTGTTGACAACATTTGCAGAAGCATTGAGAGACATATTTGTGATGTTATTGAGTTTATCAAGCCCGCTTTCAAAGACTAAAATTTGAGCTTGTAGATCAACCTAAGTGAGTGATGATTGATCTGACAATTTGACTACTATAGGATTGTAGTCAGAGTCCAAACCATTCAAGATTTGAATGATTAGATCCGAGATTGTGACAGGATTACCTACTAGCTTTAGTTGATTAGTTAGATTTTTCATCTTGGTCAGATACTCCTCCATTTTTAGATTTCCTTTTCTTGGAGTGAGCACCTGTCAAACTTTGAGCCTCATCCCAAAGTTGTTTGAAGTTTTCACAGTGCACCATTTGTGTTCTAATGTTTTTGGTCATCAAATTCAATACCAACCAAGCAATATTTGTCATCTGCTACCGATTCTTCAAAGCCTGGATTTTTGGTCTTGCTTGAATCAGCAACAATGATGATTTTTTTAGAGCATTCCTTTTCTTCTAGTATATAGCCATCTAGTTTACATCCCTTAATGACATGTAAAACTAGTGACCTCATTCTTTCTGTCCAGCTTGACAGAAAAAGATGTTGGTAGGTCATTTTTCTTTGAGTTTGCAGCAGTTGCCATTATGGTTATGGTGAATCGAGAGCTTTCAAGCTTAAAGCTTTGATGCCAAGTGAGAAAGACAAATAGAATGGTCAAAAGAATACCTATTCACATTACAAGTCACAGTACATATACAAGAGAAAGAGTATCAATCATGATCCAAGAATCAAGCTAATTTAATGTATAATCTACCAATAAGGAAACTAATAAAAGCAAAATCATGCACTCTAATTAGATGATATGTGTAGTTGATAATTAGGTACAATGAATTAAGACAATGCATATGGAGGGACCTGGTATAATGTAACACTATGTGACTTATCTAACAAGGTGTCCCCAAGAAAAGTTCTAGGACCATAAACGCTAAAGACATATACTATAAAAAAAAAAACAACAAAAAATCATTCTTCGCTACATACTATTTTAACCTAAAACCTCACTTATTTTTATTACTGACTTGACTTGAATATAAGAGTATTTGTAAAAATACGCACCCACCACCAAACTAAATATATAAAAATGTTCCGCAGTTCGTGATGAGATCCTCAATCACCAACAACAACACGAAGAGAAACATCATTCCAAATCAATTACTATAAATATAAACTAAAAGTGAGGAGAAAAGTATTAATTATCGAATACAATTAAAATTTTAATATTATATTTAAAATTGAAAATATTAGTTTTCAAATGAGTTAATTAGGAGAACATGTAATAAGAAGGATGAGTTTGAATTGTTTCACAAACACAAATGCACACACATAGAATATAAATGGTTCTTTACACACAGCTACAAAAAGTCACATCTAACATCAAACAATGACATAGTGAAATTTCAGCACCACACCAAACTTAGAAAACATGAACAATCCATAATCTTTCCCTACATCTATTTATGAACTGTCATTATAAGCCTGAGATGGAAATGAAACTGGATCAAAAATTGTGCTTATTGCAGAAGGATAAACTGACTCAAACATCTTCTGTGGTAGAATTGGCACAGGAGCTTCAAACTTAAGCACTTGAATCACTTGTCTCACACATGGCCTAAATGAATAATTTGGATTTGCACACCAAAGTCCAATAACCACTAACCTTTCCATTTGTTCCTCATCAAACACACCCTCGAGTTTCTTGTCCGCGACTTCGACTAACTTTCCTAATTTATAAAGCTCCAGAACCCAATCAAATATACTCACTTGACCCTCTTTCGCGTAAAGATCAATCGGTTTTCTTCCACTAATCAACTCCAACGAAACAATGCCAAAACTATATATATCAGATTCCTTAGTAGCTTTTCCTGTTGTGAAATACTCAGGAGCTATGTATCCCATTGTACCTGCTATAACTGTGGTTTCTAATTGTGACACTTTCTCATGATCAACCAACCTAGCCAACCCGAAATCGCCAAGCTTCGCGTTGAAGTTATAGTCCAACATAATGTTACTTGATTTTATATCTCTATGAAGCACACATTGTTCCCATTCTTCATGAAGATACAGCAACGCCGAAGCCAAATCCATAGCAGTGTTGTATCTCATCTGCCATGTCAATACGCTTTTACCGCGATATAGATGAGAATCTAAGCTACCATTTTGCATGAACTCATATATAAGAAGGAAATCTTTCTTCATGTGACACCAACCAATTAGTTGAACTAAATTCCTATGTCTAAGTTTGCTTATGATCTTCACTTCCGTCGCGTATTCCTTTATTCCTTGTTTAGATTCTTTCGATATCCTCTTTATAGCGACGTTCGAATCTATTTCTTTCAAATAGCCTTTGTAAACACCCCCGAAACCACCTTGTCCGATCTTTTGCTTTTCTTCGAAGTTATTTGTTGCAGTCGCTAGTTTATTATAGCAAAACCTTTTAGGCCCGGTTCCCTTCTGAAATTCATCGTCCATTTTCATGTCGAAAATTGAATCTCTCTTCCATATTAAGACACAAACCCATCCTAAAACAAGGAAAATCGACGCTATACCTACACCAACTCCTAGTCCTAACCATATAGTATTTTTTTTACTATCTGGTTTAGGACTAGACGGAATTGGCGAAGGTTCAAGATTCGAAGGAATAGAAGAAGAAGAAGAAACTTTCTGATCATTCACTAAACTCGAATTAAACGACCATGATTTTAACGTATTCATCTCGAACATAAGTCCGGTAGCAGCCGAGAAACCAAAGATAACCTTCTCAGGTAGGTAATCTCTCAGATCAACATTATACGACATGTGACTTTTCACAGGCTTACCATCGACGATGTTTCCGGTGAAAGAAACTTTCAAATCGCGAACACTCGAATTATACTCGATTTTACAAGAATAATAAGCTTTCTTATTCTTAATATCAATCAACCATGGTTTAGTTTTCTCAGACATCATAGAGTTCAAGTTTATACCTACATGTATACCAGAAGGATCCCAAGGATTCTGATGTGTATCAAACTCAACCGCTACAAATGGATATTGACTTGAATTCAGTATCTGATATTTATCAACAAGACCAAGTCCACCACCTTCTTTCATGTGATCAAGAAGTGGAAGTTTCGGATCCGCGAAGAAAAATGACAATCCATCTCCGAAACCGGTTTCGTTTGAGTAAATTATGAAGGAAAATTGAGTAGTGAAATCGGTGAGTTTTCTTGAGGTTTTGTCCCATAGATGTAATGGTTCAAAACATGTGACTCTTCCAACACTATAGGCGTTGCTTTGGTACCTTGTGGTTGAAGTAAGTTGAATATATGAATACAACAATGAAGCATCTCCTTCTAGTTTCACATCATTATATTTGAAGGTTTTGTAATGGAATGAAAGTGGTTTTGTAGAGGTGATCATTTGGAGCAAGAAAATGATACCAATATGGTAAGTATTCATCTCTAGGAAAAACTTGATTTTGAAACCTTTCGAGACAAATGGCTCATATGTACTTAATTGTAAAAAGAAAAAATTAATTATTAATTTTTTCTTAAATCAAATATCTTTTGCACGTAACTATATGACTGAATTCAAATTCAGAACCTCGATAATTGTCAAATAATATTATTCATAATTATTTAATTTTTAGACAATGATTTTTATTTATTATTTGTATATTTATATATAAGTTTTGGATTTGTATGGTTGGCTTAGTTCTTAATTGGTGACCATGCAAATTGGAATAAATGAGTAACCTCTAGCTATAGAGTTAATCTTCGGAATCATTTATATTAATATTATATAATAAATAATAAACAATATTAGACTAAATCACATTCACAGGCCGGTTTGTTTGTTTGCTGAAAGTGGGAAAATATAATCAAACCTCTCTGTTTATTCGTTTTAAGATAAAATACTCACTTTAAATTCTAATCGGTTTAAATAGGTTTTGAGTGGGTTTTAGTTAATAAAATTTAAATTTCGCTATGACTTAGATTTAAATTCTGATGTTGATAGGAAGGTTTTGTTGGTCAATAATATAAATATTTTTGTAAACCTTCTTTGAGTTTTAAGTTTTGAGGTTTTTCTATGTAATATGTTTTTTATTTTTAGTTTTTATAAAAGTTAATATTATTATTTTTAGTCTTACTAAATATATCACTATGTTTTATTTATTATTGTGTTGTTTTATTTATGTTTGAAATTTCTAACAAGCACACGATGGATGTTACTCCTAAAGTTATAACATCCACTGTGACATCTGCTACTTAGCAACTAATAATCAGTAATAATAAAAGTAGTAAATAGCACAATAATTGTTCACCCAGTTCAGTGTCAACAACACCTACATCTGGGGCTACCTAATTGAGAGTAGTAGTTATGCAACTGTTACAGCTATATGCCAGCTGTACAGTTTGTTACAGTTAGTTCAGTTTGTTACAGTTAGTTAGATCTAAGGCTTTATATACCATGCCTTTGTACTCTTTCAATCACAATCAATATATGAGATTTTCATCTTACTTCTTTTCTCTCTCTTATGGTATTATATCATGGTATCTAGAGCTTCTTCTTCCTGATCCAGTAATCTTCATTCATGGCGTCACCATTTCGCAGCGACGGCGCTTTTCCTTCCGCTCACGTCAAGCTCTCTGTTAAGCTTGATGATAAAAATTTCAAACAGTGGAAGCAGCAAATCGATGGAGTTGTGCGTGGCCACAAGCTTCAACGCTTTGTCACGGTTCCGGTGATTCCGCAGCGTTCGCCGGTGACTTCTGATCCGAATCTTAGCGAAGTCATCGATGAGTATCTTGATTGGGAGCAACAGGATGCTCTTGTCTGCACGTGGCTTCTCTCCACAATTTCTGACTCGCTTCTTCCCAAACTTGTGGATTGTACTCACGCGTGGCAGGTTTGGACGGAAGTTCACCGCTACTTCGCCGTGCAGCTCACGACGAAGGCTCGTCAGCTACGATCTAAACTTCGCCGTCTTTCCAAAGGTAATCTCAATATTGAAGCGTTCATGGCGCGAGTTCGCGAAATCAATGAATCGTTGATTTCAGTTGGAGATCCTATTCCGATGCGTAACCTAATTGAGATTGTGCTGGATGCGCTTCCTGAGGAGTATGATTCGATTGTTGCTGCTGTCAATAGTAAGGAAGATCTCAGTACGTTGGAGGATCTTGAATCCAGTCTTCTTGCTCATGAATCTCGATTGGAGAAACACAGAAAAGCGATTCTCACTGAACCTGCTTCTGTCAATCTAACGCAGGTTCCGCCGTCTGAATCTTCTTCTCCGGCTGACTCTGTTTCGCAAGCTTCTGACTCCTTTCCAACTGGTACTAGTCATGTTAATGCTCACGCAGAAAGCAGTGGTTACAACAGAGGAGGTCGTTCAGGGGGTGGTGGCGGTCATTTTGGTCGTCACGGCGGTCGTTTTGGCAAAACTCAGTGTCAAATCTGTCGCAAAAGTGGACACGATGCCTCTGTTTGCTACTACAGGTACACTCAGTCCTCTTCAAAGCCGTTTCCACCGCAACAAGCTCCCTTCAATCCATTTCTGGCGAATGCCCGTCCTGTGTATGCTCCTGTCTTTGGTTATTCCTCACCTAGATCAGCTGCACCACGACCTTCTCCTCCTCAAGCATTTGTGGCTAGTTCTGATCCCAACTTCAGCAACCAATGGTGGTATCCTGACTCAGGTGCCTCACACCATGTTACACCTGATTCTTCCAACGTGCCTGATGCTCAATCTGTGACTGGTTCTGAACAAGTCTTCATGGGAAACGGCCAAGGTTTGTCCATTAACTCTATAGGTTCCATGAAATTTCCCTCCTCTCATCTGTCTCACACACCTCTCATGCTTCACAATTTACTTCTTGTTCCTCACATCACCAAAAACCTCATCAGTGTAAGTAAATTTGCACAAGATAATAAAGTTTTCTTTGAATTTCATCCTTCTTTTTGTCTTGTCAAATCTCAGGGTTCTTCTGAGGTGCTTCTTCATGGTATTGTTGGAGATGATGGTCTTTACAAGTTTCAGATTCCTTCTTCTCAAGTGTCAAAGCCTCTGTCTAGTCTCCATTCTAGCTCAAATTTAGATTTCAATAATTGTAATCCTAGGGCTTCATGTAATACTGTATCTCATTCCAATGATATTAGTCATACTATTACTGATTGTAATCCTTCATTTTCTGTGAATAAACATGATGTTTCTGCTGTTAATTTGCCTATTATTTACTCTACTGCTAAGTCTGTTCCTACTCTCAGTAAGTATGCTCTGTGGCATACCAGGTTGGGTCATCCCCATCATCAAGTTCTTGCTGAAGTGCTCAAAACCTGCTGCATTTCTCTCTCTTCTAAGTCTGCAGCAGAGTTTTGTTCTGCTTGTTCCTTAGGCAAATCTCACAGACTTCCTACTTCTCTCTCCACTACTGTTTATAATCATCCTTTTGAATTAGTGGTTTGTGATTTATGGGGTCCTGCACCTGTTAAATCTTCAGGTGCCTATACCTACTTTCTCACTTGTGTAGATGCCTTTTCTAGGTTCACTTGGATCTTTCCTCTTAGGCTAAAGTATGATACCTTCTCTCAGTTTGTTCAGTTCAAAACTATGGTGGAACTTCAGTTCAACCACAAAATCAAAGTTGTTCAAACTGATGGAGGTGGTGAGTTTAGACCTCTCACCAAATATCTCAATGATCTTGGCATTGTGCATCGTTTCACGTGTCCCCATACCCACCATCAGAATGGCATTGTTGAGCGCAAGCATAGACACATAGTTGAAACAGGCTTAGCCTTGCTTGCTCACTCTACCTTGCCCCTTCAAATGTGGGATCATGCCTTTATCACAGCCACTTATCTCATAAACAGACTTCCGCGTCTCTTGAGCATAAAACTCCCTATTTCAAACTGTTTCACAAGTTTCCTGATTATGCTCACTTAAGAGTTTTTGGTTGTGCCTGTTTTCCCTTTCTTCGTCCTTATAACTCTCACAAATTGGACTTTAGGTCCCAAGAGTGTGTTTTTCTTGGTTATTCTACCATTCACAAGGGCTACAAGTGCCTATCTGCCACCGGAAAAATTTATGTCTCTAGAGATGTCATTTTTAATGAATCAAAATTTCCCTATCCTACTCTCTTTCCATCTCCTGCCATTGATCAATCTTCTTCACTCCCCTCTACTCCTTCTTTTTGGTCCTTCCCTCTTGTTCCTAATGATTCTAACTCTGTCACTAGGGCTGTTTCTGCTGTGCCTATCACTCATGTTCCTTCTGTTCCCACTCCACCCTCTCATACACCTTCTGCTGAACTTAGAAATTTCAGTCTCACTCCTGCCAACTCTGCTATTTCTCCTATCTCTGGTTCACCTTCAGTAACTGCAGAATCAGCTACTTCTTCTCCCATTCCTACTACACCTGTCAATTCTTTGTCTGTCACTCCTCTGCAGTCTGATATTGCAGAGGCTCCCACTATTTCCCCTTCTTCTCCTGCCTCTGAGTCCTCCATCAATACTGTACCTCTTCTGCCTAATCCTTCCAGTCATGCTCACAATATTCACTCCATGCAAACAAGGTCTAAAAAATGGTATTACTAAACCTAAAATTAAACCTACCCTCTTAATTACTCATATGGAACCTAATTCTGTTGGACAAGCCTTGGCCTCTCCTCATTGGCTTCAGGCCATGAAAGATGAGTACACTGCACTGTTAAAGAATCAGACCTGGAACTTGGTGTCTCCACCTGATTCTAGGAAGCCAATTGGCTGCAAGTGGGTATTTAGGGTCAAGGAGAACCCTGATGGAACCATCAACAAATACAAGGCCAGATTAGTGGCCAAAGGGTTTCATCAGCAGGCTGGCAGTGATTTTACAGAGACATTTTCTCCTGTGGTCAAGCCTGTAACTGTCAGGACTGTACTCACTCTTGTTGTGACTCACGGGTGGTCTATACAGCAAATTGATGTGAACAATGCCTTTTTAAATGGCACACTTGTAGAGGAAGTTTACATGCAGCAGCCTCCTGGCTTTGAAGCTGCAAACAAGTCTTTGGTGTGCAAATTAAACAAAGCCATTTATGGCCTGAAGCAGGCTCCTAGAGCCTGGTTTGATAAACTCAAGGGCTCTCTCCTAAGTCATGGTTTTCATGCTAGCAAGTGTGATCCTAGCCTCTTTATTCTCCATACTGGCAGCCTAAGTATTATGGTGTTGGTGTATGTTGATGATATAATTATCACTGGTAATTCTTCTGCCTTCATCAGTGGTTTAATCACCCAGCTAAATTCTGATTTTTCACTTAAACAGCTTGGCAACTTGGATTATTTTCTTGGCATAGAAGTCACTCATCTGCCCAATGGCTCCTTGCTTCTATCCCAAGCCAAATACTTGACAGATTTACTAGCCAAAGTCAATATGATCAATGCCAATGGCATGCCCACACCTATGGTCTCTACCAGCAAACTCT